GGCGCTCGGGCTCACGGGGCTTGGGTGCCAGATCTTGGCCTGTATCTGGGTGACGGGGCCTGGGGGGGGGTTGGTTTGCTGTCGCTCATGGTTCCTGGGGGGGCTCTGCCCTACGGTGGTGGGGGCTCTTCTGGGGCCTTTTCCTAGTTGCCTTCTGGGTTGGTGCCCGGTCGTCTCTGTGGTTATCTTCCTGGGATCTGTGCTCGGGTGGCTGCTGGGGGACCGGGTCTGGGGGACACTCTCTGCCCTCTTTAAGGCGCTGGAGGGGGGGTTTCGGCTGGTGGCCCCTTTGCACTAAAACTGAGCACAATCTTGGAAACCTGGGTGTCATTCTTTCACACACACACACACAAACATACACACACACACGGTCAGATACCCAGACACACGCCTCCTTAACCTCATGTGCAGTTGCTGCACAATTCTAAGAAGCTCACTAATGTCCCTGCTACCAGTGTTGTTGCTTTTGTTGCTTGTTTGTTTTTTTGTCTTCCCTGTGTTCTTTTGCAGGAGCTCCTATAGGTTCTCCACCCGGATTGCCCACAAGGAACTGTGTCCTTTTTACAGACATAGCAGCTGGCTGTATGGTCTTGTTGTCTTTTTCCCTTTCTCTGTTCCCTGTCCCTCTGTCAGGCATTATTGGACACATGTCAATTTGGTAACAAAAATGAATAAATAAAACTGTTTTGGGTAATCAAGGGGGGCTTCTCACTTACAAAGCCTCCCTTGGCAAAGCAATTTTGTTCAACATAGCAAGGTACTCAGATTTCACTTCTGCTGGACAGGACGAGGTAAAAAAGATAAAAAAGAAATGGCCTCTGTGCTGTTGTAGATAGCGCTTCTTTTTCTCTGTGATGCCAAGTGCGGTGTAGGCCCTATAGAGGGATTGCCGTGCAAAGCCTCTGCAACCCACCTCCACAGGTAAGCCCCTTGCCTTCCAGCCTTGATTTTGGCAGTTGCTGACGAGGCCTTCATATTATGCCCTCTTCCTCACGAAAGCTTCTTCCATTCGGTCTTCCAATGGCACAGTGAGCTCCAACATGACCAGGTTCTTTGTTGCCTCTGATACCAAGACAATGTCAAGTCTCAGGGTGGTATTGACGACATGCTGGGGGAACTTAAGCTGATTGCACAAGTCCACGTTCATCTGCCAATCCTGTGCGGTGTTCAGAAGCCCTGATGTTACCCTGGAAGATCT